AAGAATTTACAACGGTCATCTTCATGAATCTCCTGTATAAAGAAGCTTGAAGACTAAAAAAGAAATATAGAAAACATTGTAAAATCATATTCATTATTTTTGTAATAAGTTTAGTATACTTAATTTGGTTGTATCACATCTTGATAATAAGACTAAATAACAAGTGATTTTTCAATTTTAACGTCATGTTATTGCATGAAACCTAAAGAGGCTTTGTTGTAAAAAATACTTGGTAGTTGAACAACAACTGATCATAGATTTTTAAGATATTCTATCAATTTATTTATTTTTATTTGTTTCAGAAAAATCTTTTATGAAGTGTGATTTTTACATAATTTCGAAAAGTATTTTCTTGAATAGTAAATTTAGTATTTTAGAAAGTAGTCTCTAAAAGTATGTAAAAAAAACACTTTTGAAAAGTACTTTCTACAACACTAATTTTACTATTCTAGAAAGTAGTTTCCTTAACTATGAAAAAATTCTTCCAAAAAGTCATTTTGTAACATTATGTTTTGGAAGGAAATTGCAATTATAAAATTTTAGTCTGTTTTTAAATCCTAAAAAGTAGATGAAGAGGATGTGTGTAAAATGAGACTGAGTGTTTGAAAAAAATTGAATATTGAAAACAAAGGGAGAGGAAAAGGGGTGCATGTGAAAAAAGAAAGGAAGTAAAATGGAGGAAGAGAGTGTTTGAAAGGAGGGGATGCTTGGAAAAAACAAATTGAACTAATGAATTAGAAAATCGATATAAAATTTAAGGGTATTTTGGGGGTAAAAGGTATAAGGGAGGTGTATTATTAGTGTAGGAAGTTGTATTTAACAAAAACCTTTTTATACTTGAAATAAACGAGCTATATATTGGGTTTTTTTTTTATCAATATATATATATATATCAGTTTCTTCTTTACAAAATCTACTATCAAATAATTTTTAGTTGGTGGGTCTAAAACTTGAGTTTATTAGTTGGGTTCTATTTTGGCAAGATTGATGGATCCTGATGTTCCAAAGCTTGTGAGTTTTTCTACCGGTGTAAGAGTTGTTGGTGGGTCTAAGGAAGTCCTAGAGGAAGAGTTGTTTAAATCTATTGCATCTTATGTCAACGTAAATGGTGACTAGGATCTCTGCAAACTACAACACCTCATTTCGAATGATGTATGACATATTATCATTGGTCATCCCCCTCCCTATTCTCATGAGGAGATAGACATGGTTGCTCAAGGCACCTCATCGGATGGAGATTTCGTGAATGAAGAGTGCTTACAATTTGATTAAGAATCTGTCAGATAATGTTTCTCATCTAGTTTTTAATCATATCTGGGCTTGGAAGGGCCCTAAATGCATTAAGTTTTTTATTTGGAAGGCTGCTCAATCATGTTTAATCACTAATTATTTTAGATTTTGCAGAGGTATGTTTGACTATGCCACATATCCAGTTTGTTTGGAGAGGGACAAAATTGTTTTGCATGTTCTATGGGACTGCATGGTTGTGGCTACAGTGTAGGATGTTTTAGTTGACAATTGCTACCCATCATTCTTTCGTGGTGATGATGTGCTTAAGTGGATTATGTCAAACCTTAAGAATAGTGGGTCATTGGGGGGCAACGTTTGTAGTAGTTTTATATTTGTTTTGGTATCTGAGAAATATGGTAACTTGCTGTAATGTTCAAAGAATGGTGGTCAAGCTATCCGAGTTTGTGTTTAGGAACTCCATAAATTCAAGTTTGGTGCTCCTCATCAACTTTTTATCTGTTCTTAGGAGAGATTATCTGTACACTGGATTTTATCACTTATCGACTCTTACAAGTTGAATTGTGATAGTACAATGAGTGATGAGGTTTTATCTTATGGAGGTATAATGCACAATGATGTTGGTTCTTTTGTGGTGACATTTTTCTACAACTTGGGGAAATACTCAATTGTTCAACCTAAGATTTAGACCATTTATTCATAACATACATCTTGATGGTCCTATTATAGTGGAGTCTAATTCTACACTAATTTTTTTGAATGATTGTTGAGATATCACTCGTGTTATTCTTTGGTTAATAAAGTGATAACTATTGTTGGAGATTATCATGAATTGATATGCACACATGTTTTTAAGGAAGCAAATCAAGTTGCGAATAGTTTCACAAAACATGGTCTAACATTACAAGAGGGTGTCAATATTTATAAAAATTCTCTTTCATGAATTATGATTCATTAGCTCTGACATTTCATCTGTATCTTTCTTTAAAGGATTTTAGTTTAGACTTTTAGCCCCCATATATATATATATATATATATATATATATATATATAAATAACTCGTAGACTATCCACTAGTATATATACAAAGTCTCAAGTTAAAACTCTATTGTCATCATTATAATTCCTACATATAAAAATAAAAAATTACACATTTTTTTGGAATGTATAAAAAAATATAAATTTAAATATAAATTTCATTATAAAGATGTAATCAAAGAAGATAGTTTTAATATAATTACACAAAAAAATAAATTAATATTTATCGTCTATCTTATAAAGAAAAGTTAATATATTTTTTTTTTGAAGAAAAGATGATAAATGAAATAAAATTCACATATAAAAACTACATTTTATATAATAATATAATATATAACTTTTGTGGTGATCTGTGTGATTTACAAACTTAATTATTTTAAAAATATATTTTTAATTTATGTTTTCTTACATATGATTTAAGAATTATATAATATAAAATTTTATAATAATTATAAATAATTAACCTAATTTAAGTTTCAAAAACATTGTTTATAGTTATACACTACCATATTTGACTGTAAATAATTCATATAATATTCAATGAAAATTAATTTGTGTCTCTAGTTCATTTTCTTAAGGAATTTAGTGATGGAAGTTTGTATTTCTTATTCTTCATTAGGGAATGTTATTTTACTGTTGATTGATATTCTTTTCGTAAAAAAATATAGTAGTAGAATTTTAATCTAAAATCTGTTCATATTTGATAATGTGTCAACATTTAACATTAATTTTATAGTAATTAACTTTCAAGTTCAAATTTATTTTTTTTGTCTATCATAATTAATGCATAATTTGTTTCTTAAAAAATATTTACTCAAATTTAGTTTTCTTTTTCAACATGCTATGGTGAAGTCCTTCACCTAAAACTTTCCATACGTTAATACTATTGATTGAATTCAAATGTTTCATACATTTTATATGCTTTCTTTATACTCACAATAAACACGACACAACTATCATAAATTTTAATAGGAAGTTGTGACAAAATTTTTGTGTAAAAGAAATATTAAAATGATAGTTGTTAGTACAATTAATTAATTCTACATTTATGCTTTTTTATTAATAATTAAAAATTAATTTTAATTTAAACATAAAATTATGGTTAAAAGTATCACTATATTACTTTATTTTTAAAATAATTTTCAAAATGACCAATTCGATGAGAGAACATTATACCTTTTGATTATAAAAAAAAAATATTAAAAATTGCCTATGAATTTTATGACTTAATATTTTATTACATATAAAGTCTTTTGTCCAAATCTTTTCACTTTGTGGTAGGCAAGAATATGCTTCAAATTTTCTTAATCTTAAATTTAAGGTCTTTTTTTTACTCCAATCCTAAATTTAAGGTTGAAAGTCGTAAATAATATGTCTGAAAAATCTATACACTGATATGGTTTTCATTAATCTTTTTATCTTTTTTATTTTTCTTGCTTTTATTAGTCAAAAACTAATGTTATTTAAAAAAAAATCTTAACATTAGAGTAAAATAATGTTATTTTTCAAAAAGAATAATCTTAACATCAGAGTATGATGACGCCACTTAATTGTATTTAAAAAAAAGCCTTGGTATTTTTTCTTAAAAATTTATTTGTCTTAAAACTCTTCTAAATTCTTTGGTATACGATTCAAAATTTAAAAGTAGTTTTTAAATTTTAAGTATCATTTCTTACAAATTTCAATTTTTTTTTTCAAATGTTATCAATCGTTTATCTATGTATTTACCTTTCCATCGAAAATTTTAAATTGTTTTATTTGAGATACAAATATTCATTTCAATTTCTTTTACAAATGTTATAAAACTTCTTTGAGTACTATGAACATGACAAAACTTGTTAAAATCTTTATAGATGAGTTCATTCTAAAAGTTTTCACTTATCTTGTCATACTCATTTAGAATAGGAATCATTATCATAATCATTTAGATTAAAAGAAAATGAAGGGTGACAATTATAATAACTCTTAAGATTCTTTTAACAATTTTTCTAACACAACAATCTAAACTCACCTTTAATACATTCTGTGTCTGTTAATATGAAATATAACTATTAATGAGATATTATGTTTTTAATGTAAAATAAAAAAAATAAAGTGAATTAAGATTTTACCACACATTATATTGAAGATAAACAATTTTATTATTAATAAATAATTTAAAAAACTAAAATAATAATCAAGTATGGAAATGAAGAGTTAATGTTGATTTTAACAAGAAGAATTAAAGTAAAGTATTACACTTTACATAAGGTTAAATGATGGTTTAATGAAGTAAAATATTAAAGGGTTATTATATATATATATATATATATATATATATATATTAAAAGAATCTCACTTTGATGAAATGGTACATCTAGCATGACCAACAATGAAAGGATAGATCATGCACATGAACTATTTAATTTCAATGCAAACTTGTGACCTCTAGCTTGTTAGGTCATGAACATCCTCATGTGTCCTTAAAATTCACAATAGATACACACTCCAAAGAGTCTTGTAATTATGAACAGCTGCAGGTGCATATGATGTTATCCGAAATATTTATTGAAAGAAAAACACATCCTCATGCACAGTGACCATTTTTTTATGCAAGGTGTGAAAGTGTGCAATAGTTTTTGTCGATTAATATATACACTGCACACCCTTGACCCTGCACATAGCACAAGTCCTCTCATGAAATTCAGCGTTGTATTCAAACTTCCCCTTATACCGCGCACTAAGCCCAAGTATCCGTTTATTTAAAACTATTAATTAATGTTAGTTTTTGGGTTCACCTCATCACTTGTATTTTCTATGTTTTTCTTTCTTGCAAGAAAAGAGAACCAACCAACTCAGAGGGTGTGTGACCGTTTCAAAAAGTAAGAGAGAGAAAGGGAGAGAAGTGAAAAAACAAAACCAGTAGATAACAACAGAGACTGTCACAGATCATTCAAAGTACTTTGGTCTAAAAGTCTCAGTTCACTCTCCACACAGTGTTTCTCATAAGAGGAGGCTGTGGTTGGTGTTATCAGTTTTTCGGTTTATCTCAGGATATACTTAACATAAAATCAAACATCATTGTATTTGAGGTATTTGTCAAGATCCTTTTTATTTTACCCATTTGGCTATTCTAAAGTTGTTTAGTTTTTTAAGATCCCTCACCATTTCTGGGTTATTTGTGACATACTGGTACAACGGGTAATAAATTGGTGGTTGGTACTTTGTTGGGTTTGCATAAAAATACGATTTTGATCCAATCCCTTGTGCCCCTTTTGTGTATTTTTCATTGCCCATTTTGTATCTCTCTTATTTTGTGCAGTTCTGGTTCTCTAATTTTAGCATTGGATTTTTCTCTGCCTTGATCACAGGGGTTAGAGGGAAAG